CAGACGGTGCAAGCGGAAGCCATCACTCCGTATCGAAAAACCACTCCCCTTTCATTCATCCAATGGATGGCATCGAAGGCCCTCCCTGTCTCGGTGTCATTCCAATACGTCATCTTCCTCCATATCGCACATGCAGCCAGTTTATTCTACGTGAGGAGCCTAGACATTGTGGTGCCTGTGGCTTCTTGAGGTGAGTGAGTAGGCCCAGGAAGCGAAACAGTTTCTGCTTCAGTCCGGAGCATCATTCCCCAAATATCGAGCGTTTCCAGTACTATCCCTCCACCCAGCGGAAACGGCGAAAATCTCCTTTACACTGAAAAAAACTGGTTGGTTCTCATCACCTCATTGCTTGGGTTTTGGCAGGGACTGAGATGTTCAACGGAGCATAATGGCTGAGAGGGGAGCTACACCTGAGAGCCTTCGAGCATGTGTTTGGGATGGGTGCATATAGCCTAAGTCATTATCAACCGCATAAGTGCCAGCGAGATGTTTGGGCAACTATTTCCCTTGCGTCTCTCCGTGAGCCAACTTCAGATGCGAAAGATGAAGTGAGTCTGCTAGCCGACTCACCCGCTGATTTTCGCACCTATTACTCATCACCTGATCACAGTAAGAAGGCCATAGAAACCCCCCTGTTATATAGGCCTCTTAGATAGGCAAACCGCGTTCCAGTGCATGCACCGGTGCACCAGTGCACCAGTATTACTATATAGCACCTATATCTGGTCACGCAAAGGCCCGAAGGGCCCTGAGAAGCTCTGGGGTATCGTATCCCAAAAATGTCAAGAATGCCCCGTGATGCGAACATCGTTGCATGTGCCTTCGGCATCGCCTCCGATGTCGTCGCCGCCGTCAACGTCATCGTCAACATCTTTTCACCGATTTCCCTTGTTCCTCACTCCTTTATCCTTGTAACTCGATTTTTCTTTCTCACTATTACGATATTATCATGTATTTTCGTTGCTTATTCAGCATCGCCTCCGATGTCGTCGCCGCCACCAACGTCGTCGTCAATGTCTTTTCACCGATTTCCCTTGTTCCTCACTCCTTTATCTTGTATGTAACTACTATTATGATCATGTATTTTTGTTGCTTATGACTAGTATCCGCCACCGAGTCTTGGTGCATATAAAATGATCAGTGAAGTGAGACGAAATTACGTCGAATCTAGGTCAGAAATGTTTAACGTATTTGCAAGCTGATCAATAAGATTGTGATAGTCTTCAGTTTCCTCATCCACATCTATATTCTCGGTCTCGGAAACCTTGTCTGCTGCCTCACTGTCAATGGCCTTCAATAGCTCATTGGCATAATTCGAACCGTCTCTATTTGCGGCGTTGGTGGGTGATGTTGGTGGCGGATTGGTGGACGATGCTAGTTATAAAATTAGAACCATTATGAGCTCCTAGATAGATACTTACTGTTGGTTGTATGTGCTGAAGCGCCAGAGGGTGGTTCACTGCCTACCACATGAATGTGATAATGTGAGCGTGCCTCAAGCTGAAGCAGTTTTGCGCATAGGTGGGAGTTGGTGTTGAGGCGATATTGAAACATGAGAGATATATATTCTGCCAATGCGGGGTTGGTGGGTCGAGTGTCCTCAATAATCTTCTGCAAGTGCGCCTCTTCATCCCTCACAAAACTCCCCAACCGATTTGCTTCAATGACTACGGTTTCAATCTCCTCACGGGCACGTTGTAACTTGCACCAGGCTCGTGTTGCATTACGAAATAGCGGTTTTGCCCATGGCTTTTCACGTATGTCCTCACGACCACGTAATGTCACAATATCGGATATGAAGTTGAGGTCCGTAACTTCCTTCCAGGTGAGTTTCGTCCTTGGTGGGCTCATAGATGCTGCCAAAGCGTTGTACTTATTGATTGTCGATTGTAACGTTTTTCCACGCTTCGACACTAAGGACAAAATCTGTTGACGGGCCTTGTAATCTGTGGAAATGGCAGCACAGTGAGCAGGGCAGTAAGGGGAGTAGAATGTAATACCTGTCCTAGGCAACCCCACTTTCTCAACTTCAAATTGACGTGAGATGGCACGGTGTTCGAGTTCATCCAGTAGTTGGTGGTAGTCCCGTTGTTGACGCAAGGTGATTGCTTCAAGACGCTGGGGAGAGTCAGTCGTCCAAGGAAGAGAAAGGGACCAAGTGTCTGCCAGTGCCGCCTCCAAGGCCATCACAGTGGCACGGGCATTCTCGACGGCCTTGTTTGCCTCTTGGAGGTGCCAGGTAGTATGCTGTGCAGAAGAGGTTGTCGGTGCAGCAAGCCGGCTGATCCAGTGGGAAACTGTTCCTCTGTGGAAAGTGGTGGGCTTTGAGCCTTCCTATTAAGTTTGAAGCTACTTACTCTGCACGCTCGAGGCATTCAATAGCCTCCAAGTACTCTATCTTTCTCCTCTCACTTTCGGGTTCCGATCGGAGGGATGCTATGTACTGTCTCTCCTCCTGTAGCCACCTTGGACAATCACTGTCAGGATCGAAGGCGGGGCACAGCCGTCGCGTGGTCTCAAGTACTTCAGCACTCTCCTTAATTATCCTCCAAGCCGACGTGTGGTTGTTCAATAAGAAGTCTCCTGTCACACAAGTGTGGTGAGTGTCGGCTCTTGGAATGTTCGGACGTACCTAGGCGCTCATACTTCGTCTCATCCCACTTGGTAAAGTGTATGTGAATTCGAAGGTGGCGACTGTATGGTGATGCGTGTCGGGTGGCAGAGGCAAGTGCATTGCTTTCCGAATAGACGCGTTCATTACCTTCACCATCTTCAATCCCAGCGCCTTTCTGCAAGCCGATAAGAAACTCAAGCTGGCAAGACCTGTTGTGGGCAGCACCATGGAATGAACCGGTGCAGGATTTGAAATTTGCCTCGCGTGCAATGTTGCCGATGGGGGATTTTGAAAGTGTTTGAGAGAACGAGCAGCCAACATCATATGCAAATAAAATATTCTTGCCAAAGGTTTGTATCAGCTTGTCCGCAGCAGCGATTGGATACATTGCACTGGGGTGAGCATTAAGACATGTCAAACATCGCGTTAATTACTTACAGCTCCCCACTTTCGATCATGTCAACAAGGAACTGAACAATCCCGTGACGACAGACAACTGAAAATATACCAGTTTCGTCCATGATTTGCATTGCCCCTGCCTTCGTCTTCGATGCGATTGGCTGGGCATTCTTCCATCCCAGGCAGCCATCAGCTATAAATATGGATGAGGGCACTGACTATGAGCACAAATTGGTAAATGGAAATAGTTTTACAAATAGCTAGTTCTTGCCTCTTTGTCACGCCGAGTCTCTTTCCGGATATTGGAAAACCGGTTGACCTCTGCCCGAGGGAGATAGTAGTCGCTGTTGAAGTGCCGCAAGTCCCCCTCAAAGTGGTGGCGCATTCGTGAGAGTGAGGTGTTCCCATCACCTGTCACAATAAACTGGATTGAGCGTCCTGGGTCATCGCCATCCTGTGACCGACAAATCTATCATCAAATTACCATATTTACGAATGAGATTACTTCCCTGGTTGTGACATGCTGGGCAAGAGGTCTTCAGACGGTGATCAGCTTCGTCATAGCCCACGGTTTGTTTTACAAGGCTGTCCAAATGAGAGAGAATGCGATAAAAGATATCAAATACGAGGGAGACCTGGGTCCTTGAATAAGGCTTATACACAGCCTGGGTAGAGTGTTGTTTGGAAAGGTCACTGGCAAATAGAAACAGATGACCACGGCTCACCTTGTGCATGTCGGCCAGAAGGCGGGAAAAGTGCTGAAAAGTAAAAGCTGGGGCCACACGGAAAAGAGAGTGGAGAAGCTCAAGTGACCGTAAGGATATTGCAAGTTGAGGCTCCATTGGTGTTGGGCAAAGATATCCTGCACGTATAAGCGCACATGCGGGAAAGACTTCACCTGGACGCATAGGAATATATTCAATTGCATCCCCATCTACAAGCGATGATCAAGCATGGGTATATGGAAGGTTCTTAGCGCAACTCACCAAATATGTCAAGGCAGCGAATACGAATATACCCAATGTCATCTCCAGGAGCGGGATAATGAGCCGGCGTTGAGCGTGGATTCTCTGTCTTGAAATGGAGATAGAAGTTCGCAAGAACAGGGAGCTGTTCTGTCCATGAAGTGTACAGTTTTGTCATCCGGTCGCCCCAAGTTGAGCCTTTTGTGCGCCTGGGGACATTATTATGCATAGAATAGTTTGAACGAGAGTGGTACTTACTTTCTGGGCAGCAACAAATTGACTACACTCACTAGCTGCTCATAACTAAGGCCTTCATCCTGAAAGAGCGGGAATTGAGCCATGGCCGGGTCATCAACCCAATCAGCCGATTTGCTAGGAACAAAGGGATTCTCTTGGATCTCCCTGAGGCCGTCACGGAGTTCTTCGGTAGCATCTACAAACAATTTTGATGTGAGACGGCTCAGTGTTTACAAGTTTATTACATACCTTCAAGTATTTGTTCTTGGGCTGCCTGCATTTCAATTCGTACTCTCCTTCTGGCAACTATGCCATACCTTTGTAGTTTTAAAGAGTTGGTCCCTAAGTTAGTAAAGATTACGTTCCGCCTGCTAGATTTTTTCCCCATCTTAGAAATACGATCAGTAATAGTCCAAGAGGTAGTGAGCGAGGTATTAAAAAGACCGAGGCTACCATGTGTCACGAAAAAGTCAATAGGCGCCAAGAAAGAGGCTGGCGCTGAAATTGCAGATTTGAGGTGAGTAACTCACTGCAATGTTGGTTTGAAGCCTGGAGTAGGACTGAAGGTGGAAGCGAAGTCAACGTGCCAAAAAAAATGCTGCAATATGGCTTGGAGGGTGGGGGATTCAGGGGATTGGTGGGATCTGGCGACAAGGATTGATATCAGGTGCATTGCGGTGGCAATGCGGCGTGAACAAACTGTATATACTGTATTCACTTGTTCGAAGAACCGAACCATCTCCCTCACTGGTTCTGCCTAATCCTTCAATCCTCCTGAATACACCATGTCTAACGGCAAACACCCAAGTTAGTTAATGAGCAATTTCAGGCCAACCCATCACTCACCTTTCTTCCTCAGACCTGTCATGGAATACAGCTTGCGAACTGGCTCAAACTGTGTTTGAGTCATACATCCAGGTTAACCGCGAAAGATACAGGCTTTCCAACCACCACATGTCCTATTTCCAACGGAACGTTAGTAAACGATTTGCACGATCATTCCTGATCCTCTATCACCACCAAGGCAAGTGAAGCAACCTGCTGACGAATGCACATTGTTTTCATGTTTCACCTAGGTTGGGAGCTGAACGAGGGTCAACTTGACTTGGAAATGGCATTGAGAGACATACCAGAGCGTGCCTTTACTACTGAGATGGGATGGATGATAGAAATGCGCCTCATTTTTCCTCTATTGCAAATGAAGCAAAATCTTCGTGAAATCAGTGAATTAGTGAGTAAAGCTCGTGGAATTGCGTTCAAGCAGGACAGGCTTACCTTCTGGAAACAGTCGGACATCCGGGATCGCCTTGGGCAGCCATCAGTCATGATGGTCGACTATGAGGGACACATGTCACCCGTCCTTGTAACTGCTACAGAAGGGATTCAACAAGACGAGAACTGGAAGTCATTACGCGAGGCGATACTTGAACAATGTAGAGAAGCTCACCCTAAACGTGTCCCTGAGAGTGCCATTCCGGCTGCCAGCCTCCCACTGGCCACCACCAACAGTTGCACGGAAATCATGGACGCGGGCTCGGATGGATCAGACTCCACTGCAGAAGCAGTGTCTGGCCCAGCTATCGAGATGACCAAGGGGAAAAGCTGCATGAGAGAGGCGGGTGGTAAGGAGCCTCAGCTGGGGGCAGGAATTGGAGGGACTCATTTGGAATGGACGATGCCGGACCCATTGAGGGTCATCGTGGATCAAACTTCTGTGCATACGAACACGGCAGATAACAAGGCGCTTGATGGTCTGCAAAAAAGGGCCACAATGCCAATGAGTGCGTTCCACCCAGCAAAAGCCACCACCACGATGTCCACCGACTCACCTGGTACCACTTCCTCAGCCTTATCACCCAGTTCAAACACGTCTCCAACTGACAGCAATGGCCATCATGCTGATCCCACAGTTCCAGCCACATCTTCGCACCAAGCCGCACTGACTCAAATGAACTTGAGTCTCTTGGAGGAACTGAGCTCCTCCGAGCGAAACCTGGACGAGCTTTCAGGCCTACCGACGACAAGTGGAACGGCAATGTCAATGTCATCATATGCTGGATTGTCCACATACCTTACACCGACTGACATTCAGGATATTATTCGGTTTGCAGATGCATGCGACTTCAATGAGGACCTTTTTCACAGCGTGTTGAAGTCGCACTTCCACTGCAGTGAAGAGGATAGCCACCTACTTGTTGGTTTAGCTGCAGCAGGGCGACGCAACACCTAATGGATGGGTGGATGCCAGGTCCGCCACTCCTATTAAATACAAAAGACCGTGAATATGTATTTAACAAAAAATAATTTTCTAAATGGGTCACCGAAAATGGAAAAATAGACAACTATTTACCTCTGTTTGGGCAGCATTCCGCAGGTCCTACTCAAACTTCAACGCTGAAAATGGCGTCTCAACCACAAAGCATGGTCTCTGGACCGCCGCTAAAGAGAAAAGAAAAGGAACTAGTTCGAGAAGCGTTCAACAAACGAGTTCTCGAACTGAAACATACCTTCAATGCTCAAGTAGACAATATTGCCTTGGAGTTTTCTGGGAACGGAGCTTGCTATTCACGTAGTCAGATTCGCAGCCAGATCATCTATAACCTTGCCGCACCTACAAAAACTCGTAAGCCCATGCTACCTAATGCCTGGGCACATGCCAAGGCTCAGGCAGATCGTAAGAGAGGTATGTGGCATTGTCAGCGAAACGAATTACAAACAAAAACTAACTAGAACCACTCACAAGCACGAGAACTCCCGGATATTCCATATTCACAAGAGTACCTTGAAATCCTTGATGATATCAATGAGAACAGAATCACGTACGAAGACATCGAGAGCCAAATGACATCAACAGAGGAACATTATGCAAGGATCCTTCTAGAGGGTGTGTCCGTCAAAAGGGAAAACCGAATGGTGAAACAGAAAGTCCCCTCACCTGAGTTGTCCGTGGGCCGCATGACATTCCACGCTAGAAGTCAGCTAATCCAAGTTGTAAGTGAGAGGCATAAACATTACTATCAAAACTGACAAACTGTAGGCAGAGAGAATTCATGAAGCGTGTGGTGTCGAGGTGTTGATCATGATGACAAAGGGAAATAATGAGGACATTTTCGCGCCTGTTTTGTGGGGAACACCCAAAGCAATGGACTTTTGGTGTGGTGTGCTCAAGATAGATATGATGGAGAACATACGTCTTATGGAGGGATATTGCGTCAACACTCTGAAGGGTAAGTCTCGCATGAGGAAAGTACCCCAGCTGTTCATGGGGGGGGTCTTGAAGGCGTCGTCACAAAGTATCAGGCTCGAGTGGGAGCGTTGCGCTGTGAGGTAGCAGAGTATGCGAGAACAGGGCTTCGTAAGTGGCAACGTCCCGATGAAAACTCAGAATCACGACTGACGAAAGCAGGTGGAATTACTGGAAAGCCCCGCCTGTCAATGGAGTGGGTACCAAAGAACTACCTGAAACTTACGATTAGTCATGGGGTCGCAATCGATATGGAGCACTATCCAGGTGGGATATTGCGGGAGCCAAAAACTGCGAATCTTCAGCACCTGCAAGAGGTTGTCGAGGGATGGAAAACAAATCGAATTAAGTGGGTGAGACTTGGTGAAGAAGAGCACGAGGACCGGCGAAAGCAGTTAGCTGAGCTGTCAACGAGCGCCCCAGACAAGAATCAGTCTCCTTCAACTGGTAGTAGCAATACACCACACACCTTGTAAGCCGTCCATCATTCACCGCGCAATTGCCCAACCCGCCAGACAACCATCTCCCTTATTTTGTTATCAACACACACCTTTTACTCACCATCTGCAACCTGATATGGTTAGAGAGGCTTTGTCACCAGCATCCAGGTCTGTCACTCGCACGGAACGCTTGAGGGTACTTAATCCTGACCTGACGCTTGTTGCAGTGCTCCAACTTGCACAGGGAATACCGCATCATCGAACGACGCCACCCAAGCGTCGATCAATCCAGAGGGTGAAGCCACCGCGCAAACCGGTGCGATTCGTAACAATGGTCAGTAAGTAATATAGCCTGTTGTCAGTTTGGCCTGGTTGACGAGGTTGTGCTGTATGGGAAGAAAGCGAACGATGCCCCAGGACCCGAACCCACGGAAAATGCCCCGAACCGCCTCCACATCAGATTAGGGTGAGGGAGGTAAGGCAGATGCACTCGAACAGTGGACATGAGAGAGGGTTTCATTGTGGTGGGATGTTGAGTCGGAGCGGATGGGGCAAACGCCATCATGTTCAACCGAATAAGGCAACTTACCCACTGAACCGAACACAGAACCAACATGGCTCCATGTTTCATTGTTTCTTGAACCTCCATTAACACTCCCTACGACGTCGTTTATCAATCGCTAATATTGACGCTGGCAGACACATTGATCAGGTGCCTTGTCCTACCAATTCCCGTATTTACATTTGTTGCAAAACAAATACATGATAACATCTTTAATAGTAGTTACATACAAGATAAAGGAGTGAGGAACAAGGGAAATCGGTGAAAAGACGTTGACGACGACGTTGGTGGCGGCGACGACATCGGAGGCGATGCTGAATAAGCAACGAAAATACATGATAATATCGTAATAGTGAGAAAGAAAAATCGAGTTACAAGGATAAAGGAGTGAGGAACAAGGGAAATCGGTGAAAAGATGTTGACGATGACGTTGACGGCGGCGACGACATCGGAGGCGATGCCGAAGGCACATGCAACGATGTTCGCATCACGGGGCATTCTTGACATTTTTGGGATACGATACCCCAGAGCTTCTCAGGGCCCTTCGGGCCTTTGCGTGACCAGATATAGGTGCTATATAGTAATACTGGTGCACTGGTGCACCGGTGCATGCACTGGAACGCGGTTTGCCTATCTAAGAGGCCTATATAACAGGGGGGTTTCTATGGCCTTCTTACTGTGATCAGGTGATGAGTAATAGGTGGATTTTCGGAGTAGGTGATCGGATTTAATTCTATTTCCGCTACATGTGACAAGACAACTTATGTATTATGTAAATGTGACTGTGACTTTACAAATCCAACTGAGTCATATTTTGAAATTGCATATTGGCCGGTGCCTTACCTGTTACGTCTAGTTGACACTTAATTTGAGAGTGACTGGGCAGCCTGTTGCCAAACGCCTCCTTCAATGCACACCGCCCTGATCGCTAGCCACATCGACACCATGCCCAGTGATCCTGAATTCGGGCTTCTGGTTCAAGAAGCCTCCTGATGACCGGTCGCGGGGTCTCAACTCCCTGTTGGAATACAAGTCATGACGCCGGCCCCGGCCGGCAACATGCACCCGTGCACTTTGCGGCACCGCCTCTTTGACGCGACTGCGCGTCCCCCTGCAGCATAGCCTCGGTGTACTATTAAGACACAGTAGTCATCAGTCATAATAATAACTTAACCCTTTCGGTCTTGACCTTTCGTCTCTCGTTCTTGTTCGAGTGTAGCTGCTGAGGCGCTACAATCATATCGGGCTAGTCATAACAACATACCCCCTGCCTCCAACAACTACGGCAGCCCCGCACGACTGCATTGTTGCACGCTTACCGCCCTTCTACTTCCTGGTGGCTCCTTAGGGGATAATACCATGGAGCAACGAGCATCTTTTGGAGATAAGTTACGTAGGCTTTTCCGGAGAAGTCCTAGCCCCAGTCCCGCCCGCAACCAACCAAGCATATCCCATGTCCAGACATCCACGAACGACTCGCGGTCATCGCTGTCCACTCCCACCGAAATGAACACCAATCTCCCACGATTGATGGGCAATGCACTTGCCACTGGTAACGATAACCCGAGCGTCCACATGCAACAAGCACTTGGATCGTCAGCCCCAGCAACTGAGTCAGTGCCAGCGGAGTCAGTGCCTCGTAGATCCGATGGCAATCTGAGGAAAACGATCATCGGCACCACCAAACTACTTCTCGAAAATGCAGCCGCTGGTCTCAGGTTTGTCCCCATCGCTAATCTTGATCAGATCCCAAATACACTTCTGAGATGGATTAAAATCTATGAGGTTTGTGAACCGTCTTGATGATCTTGAGCGTAATTTCCTCACGCACGTTGCATGTAGGATGTCAAAGGCAATACCGATGATCTCAAGCAGTTATGCGTCGTGATTGAGCAAGCGCAAGACTCGGTGCTCCAGCCCCTCTATAAGTGGACTGGAGAAGTCCCTCCCGAGCTTGACAGCCTAGTGCAAGAAATTTGCGTGTACGTGTAGGCTCGTTTTCCTATTGTTCGCATTCACCCATTTCCTTTGCAGGGCCTTGGAGAAACAGGTGGAGGACATTAAAGCGGTCCAGACAAAGAATATCGTCAAGAGGACCATTCTAGCGTGCGAGATAGTACGGCAAATAGCCAGTATGAAAAGGTGCCTGGATGATGCTATCCATCGACTCGACCACGTCCGCCGTAGCTTAGGATATCGACTTTAACCCTGCTTCGCACCGAGTGTTTATCGGTTCATTGTATGTATCTATCTACATGCATTAAGACTGCCTAATCACTGATACTTCTAGCTGAACTATCAAGGCTCGGGCGAGCCCCAGCCGAGCACACTTGTGTGACGAGCAAATCAGAGTGCCTTCCAGGCACACGCGTCAAGATACAAGAGTTCCTAATGAAGCGCCTAGGGGATGCCGAGAACCGGTTTGTTTGGCTACGGGGATCTCCTGGGACGGGAAAAACTGCGATCTCTATGAGTATCGCGTCGACTTTTGAGAAAGAGGGCATTCTAGCGGCGTCATACTTTTGGGATAAGAACCGGTCAGGATTGGGCTTGGATTCTATCGAATTGTTCCCTACCACTCTTGCCTGCCAACTTGCGTCCTTCAATGAGGCCTTTAAATTTTCACTCATCAAACACCTTCGAAAACCGGCTTTGGACTCTGTTCAGCATTTCCCTCTGCAAAAACAAATCAATACTCTGATAATTGAGCCTATGCGTGGCTTGAAGGACATATGGTCTTCGGGAAGGGACCGCATCGTTATTGTCCTGGATGGGCTTGATGAGTGCGGGGATCAGGAAACACTCGGGTCCCTGATGGAACTAGTGCTTGCCTTTCAGGAGCTGCCACCGATATTTTCTGTCCTAGTTAGTTCTCGTCCTGAGCCAGAAGTCATTTCGGCTTGGAATGAAGCTCGGGCCAAGGGTCATGTCATACTGTGCACAGATTTGGACAAGGTCGTCATGGAAGAAACTTTCCAGACGGTCCGCCGTATGGTGGAAGAGGGCCTTCAGCACCTCTTTGACAAGTATTCGTGGAAACCAGACAAGAAGGAACTCGATGCTTTCGCTCGGGCTTGTCGGGGGTTACCTGTAATGGCCTCTATCCGGGTTCGCGATGTCATCCTGCAGACGCAGCATGGCCGCACCTTACAGTCTGTGTTCCGGGAGTTGGTAACCCTCACTGATGCACCTGCCAACCTCAACTGGGAGTACTTGCGAATTCTTCGACAAGCCTACATGCTGGATTCATCTGATATTCACCCAGATGTAGCCAAGAAGTATCGCTTAGTGGTTGGCATGATTGTTGCAGCACACGAACCGATTACCATCTCTTTTATGTCACAGCTTTTCAAGATCGGCGACGACGAGATCCGTGCGACATTGGAACCAATCAGCTCCATCGTCAACCTCCCCTTAGGGAACAAAGAGGCTGTCACTTTCTATCATGCAACAGCAAGGGAATTCATCACAGGGGAACCAATTGGCGATGTGAAGGACAAGATATTCTTCATTGATGATGTGAAAGGGTATTTCATTGGATTGCCACTCCTTCGACTCTTCAACAATTATTGTGAGCAGGATGCATTCGGAATACCTACCACTCCCCATTTAGGAGATGAAAGAATATGGAAGGAATTTATGGCGAAAAAGGACGATTATCACAGGCGCTTCTCCTATGTTATTAAATACTTGCTCAAGCACTTGGACCCTTCGCAACTTTTTTCACAAGAATCCATTGAATTGCAGAACGAGTTTAATTCCTTCATCACGCAAAAATACATCTTGACTTTCATGCACTTGCAATGGTGTGCTGCATTTCCTGCCGAATTACTCCAATGCAATGTGAGTATAAATGATTCCCCTGGTACTTTTTTCTGATCTCTTTTTTGATAGAATCACCATTCAATCCAACTTCTGAGAGGCTTGCATGAGGCAGCTGAGACTGCTGCGGATGCACCATGGGAACTCTATCGATCGAAGCTTCCTTTCGCCCCACCCTCGTCATCCCTTTACAAACAATATGGCCACCTCGCTGATCCTGTCCGGATTTTCTCTGCCTTCGGCGAGTTCTCTGGTGGCACCATTCCATTAAGCAGGGATCTGCTCATCGCCCAAGAAGTCATGCAGGCAAAGTTGAGTGAACTACCAGAGGTGGTCAATCAATGGGGAGGTAAGGCAATCAATTATGAAGCTGAATTCCACGAACCCGATGTTCGCAATGGTATCGTGACATGCGCTGCACTCTCCCTCGATGGTCGCTATATTGCACTCGGATTTGGCAGCGGAATTATCGAGGTGGCCGATATCAACCACCAGCGCACAATCTGCCGATTGCAGCACAGTCCAGCCAATCTCCCGACCTGGATCGAATTTGTTCATGGTAGCTGCCGAGTCGTCACTGAGGATAATGATGGGAATGTAATGATCCTCAGTGATGGTATGACCCCTGTGAATCTTGGCACTCTTCCCACCGGTCCCTATCCAGCTGGAACCACAGTCTCAGATAACGGATTGTTTGTCGTGCGAGTCCCACGGAATCTCGACAACCCTTGGTACAACAACATGATGCTCGTATCTGTTTCGGAGGCTCCATCCATTCAGCCTCTCACCTCTCCTCCTTTCTCCTCTGAATCTCATCTCTCATCTCATTGTGATGATAACCATTTAACCACTCCTCACTGTCGGACACTCGGTTTCTCTCCAGCAGCACGTTATGTTGGCGCTTTTGATGGGACCCGGGCCGTTACCTGGTCAACGGAATCATGCCAGTGCATTGCGGGTTATCAAGTGACGAATTTCAATGATCGGATCCTTAATCCTAATGTCCCTCTGATACGCTCATATCTTATCCCTGATCCTATATTCACCCGAGCCACTCTTCCCTTGGCAGAAGGCGACACAGGCGCTTGCGCGCATCATTCCGACGCGGATGGGGAGCATGACACTGATGAGTCCTGGATCAAGCGCACATTTTACGACCTCTCACCAAGCAACTTATTGGGAAGGGTTGGGCTTCACGATTTGCCTGCCGCAATGAGAACCTCACCAATCAATCTACCATTGTTGCAATCATCCGTGTGCCTGCATGGCAGAAATAACTTCGTGCTCCCATGGGACTATCGACCGATCGATTCCCAGCACGCCTGGTACGGTCACCGAGTGCCATATGATCCCCTGAAGCTTTACCGCCCTCAGTCCAGCAGGGATGGAACTCGATTCCTGGTACAGGGAGAGTCAAGGGCCCCAATTGTCGTGGACATTAGTCAAGTTGTCTAGCATTTACCAGTGCGCTCTTTATCGTTTACTCGGTCGGCACTCTCTTGGCCATAAGCTTGATGACTTTTTACGCCACAACACTGTTTAGGATTGTAGAGGGTCTCTGGTGTACAGGAAGATGTAGCGCCAAAACTGCGGGTGAGGGGAAAATGAGTAAGACCGCAACACCCTTTCGAATAAAGGGTGAATGAAGTATTGCGGGCTTGTGATTCAGCTTATGGGATGCACACACATCCGAGCCGAAGGCTGAAGGAGATGGTTAACAGTACTTCATGGATTTACATCGGTGGCATCACGCAGCCTTGCGATTGCACATCTCTTCCTCTTTTCAAATTTGCTTCTTGATATGACCTATTGCAATGCGGATACGCGTGATCATAAGATGCAAGTGGATAGCATAGTACAACTAGCTAAGGGACACGGGATGGAGGTGGGATGAAGAATGAGAGTGTTAGTAACGAAACATGAATATGCCCTTCATCTTTACAAATCTGCCGAGCCATGGTACGAATGGCTAGCCAACTTTTCAGGTGCTTCCGACCGAAGTCGAGCGTAGTTGTTAAGCCGTATAGGTATGCGGTGAGTGGTGAATTTCAACTGAACTTTCATCTGCACATCGGCGATGTTTCCCTCCGAATGATAAGGCGAGAGCCGACTCGCCAAATTGGATACGCTGGATATGTCACCAATTAATTCCGATAAACGTGCTACCATGTTATACTCGAGTCATAGCCAACGAGCGTCCTGATAGCTAAAAAGCTCGTTCGGAAGGATCAGTCGTCCCGCACGGAAGATATTGGAAGGGGGTGCCACTGCCCATGCATGGCGAAAAAAAAAGCGAAACTGGATTTCATGGGATGCATAGCATGGGAAGATGATTCTTCGAACAGTTTCGGAGAGCATTCAGTCCGAATTCAGTTTGATGCTCGGATCAATAGTGTACGATGATATGGGTGAAGGGAATGAAGGGAATTGAGGGGTGAACGATAGGTTCATAAATGATGAATGCAAACTCGCCCACAGCTTCAGTACAATGAGCAATTCGAAGGAACGTAAGATATCTCCAGTGACGGCGGCCGAACAGCTTGGTGCCAAGAGCTTCCACTAGATAGTCTATTGTTCTGACCTGAGCTATGCTTTCACAGTGAGTATCCTGACAGCTGGATCGTTGTCCAGGAGGGTCAGTCGTTCCCAGGGAGGAGACGTCCAGAGGCGAAAATAACTCGATTCAAAGGTAACTGGATTTCCAGATGAGTTGCGCACAAGGGGAGTTGCACTGCGGTGAGAATATTATCGATAAGGAGGCTGCATTTCCCGGTGTGAGAAGAAGCCACTGATCGATCAGCACACAGGTGCGGAGTGAATGAAACCGTAAAATGGCCGAGTCTGTCATTCCCAATCTTTAAGCATGTAATCATGCGTGGTGTGCAGTCGGAAAACCAAGGGGACGTGGTGGGCGTAGGTGTAGGTTATTTGTGGCTTGTTAGTCGATTTGTGACTAGAAAGGTTGCTTCGCAACCATGACCTTGCTTGCAGATCAGCAAATATTTGTAATGTTGCTCATCATGGGTTGCGACCAGACTCGTACCCAGTCTGAGGAGCTCCGTGGACGCGCAAAATAATAGCTTTTTTACTCAATGTAAATAAACGTTCTCACGCTAAATTGTTATTCTCACGTTCTGTACTCAATACAAAAAATCACATGGTACGGAGTTAAAGACATAGCCAATCACGGAGTAGGTGATCGGCTATGTCTTTAACTCCGTACCATGTGATTTTTTGTATTGAGTACAGAACGTGAGAATAACAATTTAGCGTGAGAACGTTTATTTACATTGAGTAAAAAAGCTATTATTTTGCGCGTCCACGGAGCTCCTCAGACTGGGTACGAGTCTGGGTTGCGACGGAGTTCACCAAATTTACTCATGTCAGTTCAAGAAATTATTCTTTGAGTTGAGGTTAAGGATGCAATACTACCAAGCGAACATATGAGTTGAATCAAGAATCGGGTCCATTCTTGGAAAACTATCAAAGATTGTTGGAATATGAGTCACATGATGAAACTGAACCGGAATATCCGGGAATATTCTATGGGTTACTAGGTGCCTGCGTAAGTGCTGGGCATAGAAGAGCCTGGAATATTGTTGAGAAGTATAAATATGGGCACTGAAGTGCCGTGTGTATTTTAGTTATATTTCTTTCTATATCACATCTGGGTTGCGAGTGAACCGCTGAAGCGGGTTGCCATATTTGGAACGCCGCGTTTACAACAAAGATGTAGAACTACCAAGCGAACATATCAAGAATAGGACTCTTCTTGTGAACATGTAAGTGACCATCTTGAGTTGAATCAAGGATGGGTTTGTTCACACAACACCGGACTTTTTGTGAACTCATCATGGCTTTCACTCTGTTACCCACCACCCTGCCTTCTTATCAGGTTGGATGGTGGTAATTAAAGTCAGGCCAGTGGTTTAGGAGTGGTTCCAAGTTTTGGGTCTACCAACTAAGGATTGGGGGGATCTTGAAGTTGGTGGAGCAAAAGCAGCTTCCTATTACAGGGGAACATGCTCTCACTGACTATTGTGTTCATGTGCAAGGACAAACAATCAGCCATGTGTCAGGGCAATAGCCCCGAACCCCGAGTCATATGTAAATTAGATACATATAGTCACGTGGGTAAGCGGGAACCTCCGGGTAACTGCTTACACACCACCGTAAAATACACATACTTGTATCACTTACGGCTTTGTGTGCTGAGCTACCCAAAGACCTCACACCATGTCATAATTGACCTGGTGCCACCTCCGATTGGAGCATTGACACCATTCAGTGTGTATGTGGTGCTTTCACGTAGCTCGGGCATTAAGACTGTCACGAGACTTCGATGAATTGTTGTCCATGCGGAAAGCCTTGAATGCACTAAATGCCACCGGAGAACTTCAGTCAGTTAAAGGTATGATGATGGTGATGACAACCATGGCATGACACAATTCATTGAATAGTCACATGCTATTGGAAAACACAGTAAAAGTAATATAAACACATTTTTCCCACACAATTGTGGGTTTGGAAGTGACCTTGCAAGCAAGGTAATTACATAATTAGTTGTGTGTGAGGGACCTTAACGTCGGCAGAGGCCGGCGATTGAGTTCAGGTGGTTAAGGGACTCACGAAATCTTAGGGTGATCGAAAGTCGCTGAACCAAAGTCGAACTCGATATTACACTAGGGGTGTAAAATACAAGATCTCTGCTTTTCCTATCTACTAAGGTTCTAGCTTATATACGGTTCTCTACGCTTATGTAAGCTTATCGCTTACATTGTGATTGCATTTGCGCTTCCACCGACTCCGACGATTATCGCTCCACTTACTTACCACCTCGTGTACATGTATCGAAATTTCTCCTTACACCCCCCAGGGAATATTCATGCCCATACCTACGTCTCCCAACCTCCCTTGCTCGACCATTGATCACAACGCGTTAGTGCGCAACCACACTTCAGTAATTACCCATCCTCTTGATCATCCAGCCTAGCCCGTTCAGCACTTCTCGGTCCAAGCTAGGAGCACAACCTTTGATCAGAGCGCTTCGTACTATTCTTGCCGGCCCAGTTTATTTCGATTCAGTTCATGCGCCTCGGTCCTCCTCTTTTCTGCCCCTGACGTATCTTCCTGCAACATCTCTCTCATCTCCTCTCTCGCTTGCGATTGTGGCAAGGGGAGTTCGTCATGTCATTGTTTGAACAGCTTTGAGATCCAAGCATAATGTGAAGGCGCGTCGAACTCTGAATATTGTGAGCGATCAACCTATTCTCTTTTTTCCTTGTTTGATATTTTATACAGATTGGCTTCACACCATTGGAAACATTCGCAACCTCTCTGACTCGGACTCCATGTTCAGTGAGCCCCCCAGAGATGACGTGAGCCGGCACCTGCACATTCTCCCTGGCACAACATTGGTTGAGACGATCGAAGCCCAAATCGATCGGTGACCATACGCAGCTACCTGCTCTTCGGCCCATGCAAGTCAGATTCTTATCGCCATTCCTAACCCTTTATGATTCAACAGGCTTTGCTGCCCTTCTCGCTATCATCACGGTGTGCCCTACTTGCCCTTGGTTTCAAGCGCGCTCTACGGTAACCAGCACTGCAATTCTCACGTATTGTGACCCAGGACGTGGGCCAAGCAGCGCTTCCACCACGAATCGTTGCCGCCTCGGGCAGTATACAGCCCTGCATCCGGGAATTACTGTATGCTACTGTGCATACCCTTCCAACTGATCGTCTTCCCCACCAAAAATTCACTCTACATGAGGAGGAATAGTAATCAAGGATGGAATGGACTCGCTTCACGACCATGCAATGCCTGGTTCTTGGCTGAAACAATTCAGTTCTGTCGATCTTCCCGTTAGCACTTGTGCGGCTCCAAGTACAACGAATCGAATGAACTAGCTCTCTAATTGGTAAGAGCATGATAAATTAACGCCACGGCCAAAAGGGGACGTCGGAAGACATATATATTATTCATGTGGCGCGCAAGTAACCCTGCTGGTTGCTCAATTTGTGATAGGAGCTTTCCGACGCTGGATGAGCAGATTCAAGCCATCTCCATTGTCGGCTTTAGACGCTAGCTGTACTGTCCCCAACCTCCGGGTTTCGTTGGTCCGCAAATGCTTAGACACTGAAAAGCCTGCTCGCTCATCAGAGCTAGGCTACTTCTGAGGACCCAGTCGCTGACGAGGGGGGAAATGACATCTTGAGGCCTACTAAGCCGCATCAAGACTCCCACTCTGTCCTCAACAAAAGATCCTCTGCGGATGTCGTCACTTCGCTCTTTGGCTCTCCCTGTTCCTGAAGCTCTAAGTTCAGCTATGAACACGCCTCTGCGCCTCCTCCAGGCTTGCCGCCCCAGCCGCCGGCGCTGCAGTACCAAACTCGTTCGGCAACACGAATGGTCTATTCCGAAAGCCTTCAGCACCATCCTATCTCCCACTATGCGCGTGACACTCGTGGTGGAGTATTCGACAACACTGCTACTCGGCCTGGAGGGCTACCTCCTGTGAGAGGTGGCCCTAGTTTATCCGCTGATGATCTGAATTGGTCCCCCGAGACGCGTGGAAGGGTGCGCCATTGGCGTGTCATGTCATTGCGATTGTAACACATGCATTAAATCGTATCTCGGTGGCTACATTCTTGCTGGATGGGAGAAGCGGCCATCGTTCCTCCACATTGGGAAAACGCTACTCTTCCACCCAGCGGATTAATTGATGATGGCATGATCATTAAGAGTCTTCCTGTCAGGAGAGTACTCCGTGCGGAACCTTATTCTCTCGATGTCATTCTAATTTGCCGACTTCCTTCTCACATTCCTCCTTCGCGCCACACCTGCAGTTTTTGGCAATGCAGCTGATCTCGGTCACCTCTGTTTAGCACGATTTCCATATAATGCTGTCATTCCCGTGGCTAGCGACGACACAACCACTCCATTCTTGGGGCCGGTGATTGGGCAACTTGTTTCAACGCTTTCCACTCATACCCGTATTTGCTCGCTCTTCGTTACTGTACTCAAGCTTCCAATATGGTTTACCGCTTGAAGATTCATAAGAACACCTCAACTCGACTCTTCAACGCTTCCAAGTTTGTATACGTTATTATTGAAAATTTTTTTATCTTAACATTCTGACTGCTCCAGCCGGATGGGCACTTATAGCGTGATTCATCCTGCGCAGAGGACCTCTGGTGCGCCTCACACAGCTACCACATTTGCGGTAGTATTGCAAGTTCTAGAAACCACCATCGCAGAGGATGTCACTTCTGTGCATTGGCAATTGGTGCACAGGTGTTGTGTTTGGCTTGTGTTTACGCACACTGTGCCCAACGGCAACATGCCTTCAGCGGTTCTACCCCCGACTCGTTGTTTACCCATTATATCCTCTGTTCAAGTGCAAGTCAACTAAGAGGTTGGAGTCAATGAACTACAATGGGTGGCTACTTTTTCTTCCTCACCTTCTGGGCCCTCCATTTGGAGCACCCCCGACTATGCGCTTGTCCAGGGATGAGGGGCCATCGATGACTTCCGCAGCGCAGCGTCCCCTGAGAAGAGATCGAGGGTGATGTTGGCCTCGGTTGGCCGGTGGGTTGGTCGCATAGGGGGTCTTTGAGTTATGGTTCGGAGATGAGCGCGCACCTAGCATTTCTTGATCACTGTCGCATTAAATAAGGCAAAGGCCAAAGAGATGTGTATTGAGAGATAATTCTCAAATGTACGCTAGCTATGGTGAAACATTTCTTGAGATGGCAATCAAAACGGGGGAGGCGTCATGGATGGTTCAAACTGAACGTTCATACCACGCAAGTCAGCTGAAGAACAGTAGGAACCGGAGAAGCAATACGGGAATCCAGAGCCCCATACAAGCCAACCGGGCGATGACGTACAGACAAGATCTATCTCCAAAACTTTCTAACCTGACTAGCAGTGAATCCGGGTTGCCCCTAACGCGCCTCTTACTGGGCCCGATGTGAGATCGCGCACGGGGACAACAGCGATGCATTTATCATCCTGGGGTAAGTTGATGATGTATGCAATCTCAGCGAGTGACTGGACGACAGTTCTAGACCAGAGAATAATAACAGCACTTTGTTGGACAGCTTATAGAGACGATGAAATGGCGACGTGAGAGGGGTGCGACACCTATGGGAAGGGATTTGATCAAGAAAGAAGAGAGCTTCTAGACGGTATGGGCGTCCCTAAAGCCCAAAGTGGCAATGAATCCTGCTTTGTCATCTGGCCGATATGTCAAGGCTTGGATGAGGTATCGCCGCCCACAGAAGGTGGATGTGGACCATCGACCAAGAGTTTGAGGGTCAAAGCACCTGGATGCCGTTCAAGAGATTGGAGTGTTGAGAGAATAATAGTTCTTCAGGATTAGGAGAAGCATGAAGCAATGCGATGCATGGCTTGATAATCGCTTTACCTCGAAGAACGGCGTCAGAGATCTATGTAGCATGAGGTTCACGGCATGGCTCAGCCTCAGACATCCACTGTCGGGGAGAAAAGGTACTTAACTGCTGTTAGAAGTTGCAGCCCAACGCCACTGGTGGTCAAGGGAATCGCCCGGGCCGGACATTCACGCTTTGGGAAGGGAGGGGCGCTTTGAGGCGCGAACGCGCTTTGACTCTTTGTCTTCACGCTTTTGTTTTCCTTTTGTTGTCTACCACTCATGTTTCAGCTCAGTGGCGTAGAATCATTACAAGATGTATATAAGGACCGGACTTGCGCTAGCAGTTGATACCTCACTAATCGAGGTATCGTGCTGCGCAGTTGTTACAGGTTATCAGCCCAGTCCTACTCCACCGCTTTACGTAGTCCGAGTTCGGCACTGTTGAACTTTGCTCAGAAAGGAGCTGTCTTGTTCTGAATCGCCGTTACCCCCCCTGTTCTGGATCAGACCCGAAGAACATACCATGCCTCTGAAAGACTCAACCATCGATAAGGCCGTCCTTGCTATTGCTAAGCTGAAGGGATGTGATGACTGGAATAGGTGGTCTATAAACCTCCGATTCGCGATGGGACACACCTGGGGCTACCTAGATGGAAGTCGGATTGAACCATCTGATAAAACAACGCCTGAACATGCAGAATGGGCTGAAGGAGAAAATAACACTTGCTGAAGACTATGGCTATCCCTCAGCGACTTGGTCCAAGACAATATTTTCCATCACTCCGAAAGTCCTGCAGCAACGCTATTTGATGCCTTGAAAAGTGCCTACCAGCAGACCGGTGCCTCCGCTGAATACTATGCCAGAACTAAGTATGGTGAGGCAAAGATCAGTGACTACGAATCCATCTTGGACTTCCTATCTGGTCTTATGAACCTTGCTCACAAAGTAAATAAACAAGTTCCCAGCAATCAAGGACGGATCAAAGATCAAATGATCACCATGCAGCTCATCCATTCTCTCCCATCTTGCATGAGCACCCTGCAGACCATGCTCATCCAGAATGCTCCAGCGGCAACCAAGGACATGAGCTGGGATCTTGATAAGTTGAGGAGAGAAGTGGAAACTGAGGAGCTACATGCCTGAGCCAATGGAATGGACCTTGGGACAAAGACTGGATTCTCGCCCACACCAAAGGCTCTTGCTGTGGAAGGCAACACAAAAGGAAGGAGGAATGATCCACCTTGGTTAACGCGCAAGACATGCTGGGATTGTGGAAAGATGGGTCACCTTCACACGAAATGTGTTGGAATATCAACGCTCATCGACAACAGCTGAGCTGCAGCGTGGATTGGGGAGTTTTTATTTTAACTTAATATCGTCGTGACTAACAACGACTATACCTTTTTGTTTCAGAGTCGCGGTACCACGCGCTCCCAATTTACTTTGTCTTATATCGCCAGTTGTCACTGACAATCGCTTTAAGCGATATTGGCTCCAGTCGTATAAGTTACGCTGGACGCCGTAATTTTTCTCCCTCCCTCAGTTCTCTATTTCGAGACTGAGTTATGCACGATAGCTCCTATTTCATTAAAATGCACAGTGATGGAAGCTGAGAAGGAGGCCTACCAACAGAGGAAGGCCGCTGAAAAAGGAAATGTGAATGCTACCGAGGATTCTGAGGAAAGGGTCTTCTATGCAGAGTGTGTCATGAACGCCGCATTGACCACTGTCAGGGACAGCTCCGAAAGCGGCGAAGTCCCGGCATGAGGGACCCGATGGGACAGATGTTGGCTGTGCGTAGCGGTGATCCCATCACGGGGGAGCGTCCCCGACCACTTAGTCTGAAGTGGGAAGTTGAGAAGAAGGCTGCTTCTTCTGTTCCCACCCCAGGTGCCATTATATACATGCAGTCAGGGTCACGTGGGGGGAGCCACGTCATCTCTGCACACAGCCGGACCTCTCTGGGTGTCTCTGCTGGAGATCCCGAAGGTGTGCCACTCTGTAGGTGGGAATGCGTGCGGCAGGTGCAGCGATCGGGGGAGCGGTGAAGGAGAGAACGAAGGAAGGTCAGTTGGGAGGTTCAAATGAGACCACCACCAAGCTGTTCCTTGGTTCTTTAGTTAGGATGGGGAAGTGTACTAGTAATATTTGTTGTAATTATAGTACCAATCCGAGTGTTTTGGCTAATTCTATTTTATGGGTTAGTCTAAGAGTTTCTGAGAATTGACTTACAGATAAACTGAGCCCTGTGGAGCTGTTCCTCTATTGTAATTTCTCAATTTGTCCAGGTGTAATTCTGTGTAGAGTTGTTTAAAATGGATTTTAACTTGAATTAAATCTTCTACTTAGTGAAGTTTCAAAGATTCTACTCAGTTAATGGGTTTAGATTGTGTCTGAAGTGTCCCTTGAGTTTGTTTTATTTTTGTCTTATTTTATTGCTTGTTTTAACAGTAGCAAAATAACTGTTTTGTGTTTACACTTTGAATTCTGGAGTGTTAACCAGCTCTCCTGTTGAAATATTTACTTAATATTTCTCTCCCTGATTGCTGCCTTTTCCTACAGTGGCAATCTTAACTGTATATCACTTTTTCGCACTGGAGTGACAACCAGAAATGCTTGAGAAAAATAATACTCTATTTTCTTACTTCTCTGAGGGGGGCGAAAAGTCGCAGAAAAGGTCTCCCTTTTATACTCCTTGGGTTGCCTTCCTTTTTCACGCTCTACCTCGTATTTACAGGATTTATTTACAGTGTATTTTCCTCAAACTGAATAAAAAATGAAAATTTCATGCTATAGTTCTACTGTGCTCTGCTGCGCTGAACTGCAGCTCTACTGCAGTCAGACTGTGCCTAGAATCCTTATTGTCCTTCCTCACCTAAGCTATTTTAATGGTTCAATTAGAACTTGACTGCGCTGCATTTGCCACAGTTTCCTATTTCAAATTCCTCATATTTACCATTAAGTTCACTATGACTCGGTGATTCTGAATTCAAACTTCGCATTACTATGCGTATGGCTGCGCTGAGACCTTCAGCTGATTATTCTATTTTTATCCAGTAACATTTAGTTGAAATGAGACTTGAAATGATAAATGAGTGAATTATTCAGGTTTAGAACTGAAAGAAAAAGTTGCTAGTAGTAAAGAATTGTTCAAACGAATGTGTTATAGCTCTCTGCTTTATTAGAATATTATTCCCTAAAATTCCTGCCATGGTCCATCATAGTTTAGTGGTTTCGTGGATTTCGTCCTTCTCCCCTGATTCCTCTTTGTATTATTGCATCCTAGTCCTTCATATGTATTGTTCGTTGTTATAATAGGTCGTCCTCGAAGATATCATATTTTTATGTATTTTATTTGGGGCTCTGGACCTCTAGAAGCTGTCTTCCCACGTGTTTTCAGGTTTCTAACTTCCGGTCCTTGTATCTCATTCATTTCTGAATGGTTTTTCGCTTTCTCGGTATCATAAAATTTCATTTATTCCCACCTTTCCAATGGTACTAAAGTTGTATCCTATTTCTTGGTATTCGTCGAGTTAGCAAAAGTTTGTGCGCACATTCAGTAATCACGTGCATCGTTCCCATAGTCGTTCATATGCGGGTGCTGTTTCTGTTTAATTGTTCGGGATTTATGGTATACGTGGGTGTTTGTATCCTTCATATGGGCTTCTGTGATTTATTTCAGATTTTTCCCTCATGATCTAAGGTTGTTTTGTACTTTCCGTGCTTTGTTTTGACCGGGGTCTTCCTTATTTGAATGGAAATTGGTCTTTGCGATCTGCTGAAGTGCGGATCTTGGTTCCGACAGCCAGTTCCCTTCGTATCGCCACCCTCATGTGTCTTTAAACATGATGCGGATTTCTATATTCCTGTCATTGGTATAACTTCACAACGGCTGGACCGTTTGAGCTGAAACTTTGCATAACTATAGTTTTCCATTTATCATAATTTCCGTGTAAATTTCGTAGTGTGTTTTAAATATGGATCCTACGTAAACGTCGTCTTTTCCCTGAGCCCAGGCTTTTGATGTCGCTCTTCCCGTTATTGGATATCTCATTGATGCATGATCCTTTTATTATGAAAATTTGGGTGGATTAAGATTAGATTCCTTCCTTTCTAATGAGCCATCAAGCTCGTCTCGGTTGTTACTTCTTGTTCTTCGCGCTTGCCTTTTAAACGTTGTCCTCGTTTTCTGAGAGTTTTAGTCATACCTCCATCGTTTATGGGTAGTTTTCCCTGTAATTACTTTCATTGGGTCCGTTTGAAAGACATCTACATTTCCTA